ATTTTATCAAGAATCCTAAACCACTGGTTCTTTTTGTTTTGCTGACCTCAATCAAGCAGTCTACATCTTCCTCACACGACTCAGGCCAATCAATAGTCAGCGACTTCATGGACTTGTACCACGTCTGCAACTGACTATCCTGAACTCTTTTCAAACTAATCCAATTTCCCCTACTACGGTGCATCAAGGTAGGTGGTGACTCGGCATATGCAGTATACACCAAACCGTCTCAGTCGATGAAGGTTCACAACGTTATCAATCGGTCTATCTTTCTTGCCTAATAGTCTTCGCCTGACATCAACACTGCTCACACGCTGAGTCCACGAGTAATACTACGAAGGCACTTATAGTCAGAACATTGTAATCGCTTCATGTCTTGTACTTTTAACTTATCTCACAGCCGTATAACAGGAGAGAACGGACTGCAGCGCAGTTTACACTTCCTATGATAGGTACTCGTAATGTATATGGTTTGTACATACGTTACGAATGTCGCCCCAGAGGCTTCTGTACGGTTCAAGCTTACGAGTTCTAAGACCAGTTGAAGGTGGCTAGTATGTGACGTAGTAATATGGGATGAAGGATGGTTGTGTTGGGATGGCATGTGCTGGTGCCTCAAAACTTCCTTGACGGGGATTGACAGGTAATAAGACCTAGTGACTTGGAACGATGCCACATCTGGCTAAGAAACAGAACCGTGATGATTCTGATGCAGTCTTCTTTTGTCCCCTGTTTGTTAATAATGAACAAATTCACACACCTCTTTTTCAATGCTCGGCTTTAAGTAAGAGTAGAACCTGGGTACTGTGGAACAGCCAAATTCGATTTTATTTTTCTGATTGTATTTATCACACAGGAAAACACGTTAATTTACTGAATGACTTCTCATAAGTATATCATAGTAATCACACAACAATATGGTTAAGTTTTATGTTTCTATCCCTTTTCATTATTTGACTTTATAGTTAGTAAAATTTCCCACAAATCACATCTGTTGCACATGTCACATGGGTGTCAATTCAATATATGGAGCTTCAGTCATCAAATTCACCACCTAAGTTAGTTTCGAAGATTGTCAAATTTATCTCATTCTCTTACATGACACCATGTATGGCTATTACTAAGATGTTTCCTAGATGGTTTACCCTGCTACGATATACCATTCTGCATTCAGGTGCTTTTCTATACTCTGCTAACCTAGTTGGCCCCTGTTGGCTAGTTTAAGCTATTTATTTGCTGTTACACTTCTCAAATGGAACTTAGCAGATCAAATGGTTTTGTTTTATGGGTTGGATAGAATTTTTTCACCAAAAAAGCTCGTCTCTGAATTTTTGTCTCTAAATATCACTTTTTTGTTGGTTTTATTGAGAATTCTGTCTCCTATTTTCATATAGAAATTTGAAATGCCCGCTCTGTTGTCTTATCATAATCGTCATTGAAGTTTTATTGCTTGCATAACGTAATTAGAAGACGTGCTTTATCCGAAGAATATGATGTCTGCTTATCAAGATACTTCCAGTTTTCATAAAAAATACCCTGACAAGTAAGTGCGTGATCAGATTTTTCGAAATGTGTGGCGCAAATACATCACAATTTTTCAGATAAACTAGATCTTTTAATTAAGTTATCCAAATTCATGAAAAAGAACCAACTGTTCCAAAGGTAATGGTCGCGTCTGTAGTGTTCCTCCAGTTATTTCTCATGTTAATTCAAAAACATACTGAATCCATGTTGCATCAAGTTTGTGTTTAAATACACCTCACATAATATTTAATCCTCAGTCCCAACTGAGTTCGCTCAATCGTTTTTCACTGTGGTCAACAATTAGGATAGTACATAAAATTAATTAAACCCTACTGATTAATCAGTACATAGTGTTCAGCCCGATAGAGAGTCAGCCGTAGTCTGAATAGGTAAGTGCCAACATCTTTGACTTCAGCACTGGGTAATTCCGGTTCGGGTAGCTAAGGTGAAGCTTATTTTCATAAGTTTGCAATTACACCTTTCTGACCAGTGTCAACAGACATAATGACTTAAGTCTAAGGCTTTTTACCAATTGTCTTCAATCATCTGACATACAAAGTGATCAATTACACAAAAATATGGAACAATGAATGGTATATTATTTTCAGAGAAGATCTAGAGCAATGAAGCTAGTTTTTCCCAGTTGATGATACGTAAACAAACGACTTACTAGTACCCGAGATAAAAAAAAATTTTGACCAATTTTCACTACTAGCTACGACAATACAAGCCTTACTACATAAGAATAAACGACAAGGCGAAAATAAATAAATCAATTACACTAGATACAAAAATTAATGTTCATCACATAACAATCATCCACGAGCAACACACGAACAATTAGATCGTAACCACAAACTCCTAGCAAAATAGAAAACTTCACCTTCAAAGCATGAATCAAAAAAGTCAAGGTTAGATGCGTAAAACTTCTCTTCAACACTAAAATGAACAACCCGAAAAATGTAGAACAAAGCGGTTTTTCCTATGATAAAAATATGCCATAACTCCTTATTCAGGTTACATGTAATTCACTGATCAGCTAAGTAGAACATTTGAAATAAGTTCTTTTGTTGAAGTTACAGTTTGCTAGGTGTCAGAAGTCCTCAGCGCATAATTTCACACTGTTTTTCTTTGTTGGCTGACCCCATCAAATATACTGACTCATTTGTTCGTACTAACGCATTTTGTAGACCAATCGAAAAATCGTTCCAGTATTTAACTATCAAATCATGGAACTGCTGCGTGAATTCGTTTCTCACCCACCTTAAATTGCAGGCAATCTATAATATTTTTATCTTTCATGCTTATGCGTAGTCACGAAGTCGATAAATAAAATTCTACTTAGGTAACAAATAAGATAATTGTTCAATTTGATTTATTGATCACAATTTAATAATCAACAGTTCTATAACTGCCTTCTCAACATGAATTGAAGTTTAGTAGTTTGGCTTACAAAAAAAGTTGGTTTTACTGTAATAATTTCACAAACCTATCCAAAAGATAAGAGCATGTGACATGAAGTAATTAACATACATCAACGAGAAATGTTATTTTGCAGTGTACACCTAATTTTACTACTCATTTCTACTGTGTACAGCCTATGCATAGCGAATGCATGAAACAAACCAAAAATAATGTACTTCATGATTAAAAAAGCCCACAATCCATTCCACAGTACTAGGAAGCTCAAACTGTATTTACAAATTCAATTGTATTACCGAAGTAGGTGCATCAGGAGGACATAAAAAGAGGCAGCTACTCGCTTTCTTCAACGAAATCCGAGAAACCTACAACATCATACCAACAATGGACACAGATAGATCATATTACTATAAGCCATCTTTGGAGAGGATCGTTGAAGGATTACTGTTCTTCCGAAAATATCTGCTTGGACTCCGATCACGCTTTGGTACGATCACTTTGTTTGTTTGTATGTTTGTACCTTACTAGTAGCAGCAAACAGGCAGCAGGAAAGCCTATGTCTGCTGGATTGTAAGATGGGAAATTCAAGTGTGTGTTTTGAGAGAAGATTATCAAAACACTTATATGAGCATATCAGAAGTTCCAACGTTGATAAAGTCCGGTTTACTATTCATTCTGATGTAGATATTGGGACAAAGATAATTGGTAACCCACATCTAAAGGTCGCCAGACGTCAGTAGATTTCCACAACGTCATCTGGACTGATTGATGTCGGAAGACTTATTTCAGTTGACTCTGACGACAATGAATAACGAAAGTAACTTCAAAGCAAATTGACTTGGAGATTCGTAATGACCACAAGCAGTGGTGGGAGGTGAGAGCGAAAGAAATGAAGGAAGTATCGACATTAGATAACACTTGGTAACTATATAGGTTTGTTGGGATACCGGGAAGGAGAAGATGATGATTAGTGAGATTACTGTTGAGGAAGATCGACCTATGATGAACCCTTAGGAGAGGAGGTTGAGACGTCGGGGGAACAGTTTGACTGGCCTTCAGTCACACTTAATTGCTGAGTGGGACGTTGACGTCTGTCCTTCGATGCTTCTCAAAATTGAGAAGGCTATTTTAAACATGATACGATGCAAAGCCTCAGTATCTGATAGTTTACCTCCAACTTTTTGTGAAGATGGAGATAGAAAACGACTGAACGCAGTCAGTTATAAGCTGGTGCGTGGGAACCAGTTATGCTCCCATTACTCGGGTTTATATCGTCGATCGTTCTAGTTTATATGAACTTTTTATGGATTTCTACTAATCTTGATTTCATGACTTCTGTTTTCTTGCTTTCAATTTTGTTATCGTGCACCCAACGTGTCGATGTGACACGTGGTAACTAAGAATATTAAACAGTAATGGCATTTCCCTTACTTTTACTGACTAACTGACTCACGGCATTGAGGATTTCAGTGGTAGAGTTTAGTGAATATGATACTGAAGTTAATGTAACTCAATCTGGTAGATGTATGTGCACTAGGTTACAAACCACACTTGTTGTGTGAGCGCTTATCATTTTACCCTGTTGCACATACTGGAGTAGGTGGAGGAGAATTCAAACCTGGATCTTACTGCTTGAAAAATGAGCTCCTTAACAGATCAGCTTCATCTTCACCACTCTCTAAATCTTCGTACATCTTTCCGCTTATCTAAGTAGTTTCACGAAAACAAAAGGTCTCGATAAAACAAATCATTTACCCTTTCTTCGATAAACAACTTAAGTGTAATTCATAGTTTTACGAAATGGATTTACTAGGGAAATGGATTTGGTAAAAGCTGGGTTACATATTATAGCTAAATAGGGTGATTTGAGTAAACTGTCAAGGATTCACAAGACGGAGTGGGGTATTTTCACAATGAGACTTCGATTTAGATCTTTGTTTTTAGGTTCTCTCTAGTTGTCAAGAAATTTGACACTCTAGAAGTGTATAAGAAGTTAACAATAGATGAAAAACGCCTTGCCTATTTAAATATATTGGTATTGTTTATTAACTTACCTGAGTATATACTAGTGGGGGATTGACCCAATCATAACTGAATATTGTACCTAATTTCCCACGAAACGCTGTGATTTCATTCGTCAGTATTTCCACTGCTCTATCAAAATGTATATAGCCTTCTTCACGGGCTTTTGTGACCATATCTAATGCCCATACAAGTGGTACAAAATATAAAGTATATTCAGAAGGTTGAGTGCTGCGGTAAATATCCAATTCTTCTTGTGTCATGAGACCTAAAACGGATAAGAAAGAGAAATTTAAAGAAGTAAAGTATTCAGTAAAGTATATTTAGGGTGATTATCAGTGATATTAAGTTCAATTCGGGACTTGCCAGTCTGAGGTAGCTATAGTCATGTTCCAGTGTTCGGCTTAAAATCCAGTCTATCAACACTGTAGAACATCTCAAAATTATCTGGAAAGTCATATTTTGTAAGACATTTCTTCAGAACCAGTATTACTTCAACAAAAAGCTGAATATAATTTGCTCATTTATTCATATGCGAACCATCAGTAGGAATAACTCAATAGTTCAGTTAGTTCTTCGAGTTTAGATGACACTCAAAATTGAGTAGAGAGGCACACATGGATTCGATTGCAACCTTTTTATAACCTTGAGTGATTTACTAGCCTAGACAAGATTGTTCTTTGATTACTTACTTTTCTTTTTCAGCTTCCGGTAATTTTGTATTTTCATTTTTTCTCTCTACTTGTAATACTAGGAAATCAGACAACATGAGTGGATGCATAGTTCTGTTACTTTATATACTGTACCGATTGTTCAACCTGTCCTACCTCCATACAGACAGATAGATCAGTGTAGAACCTTGAACTGAAGTTCATCGTTTCAAGTTGTCATACTTCTTAGTAGCACCCAACAAGGAAGTGGATATGAAAAGAGTGACATTCATGCAGCTTATGATGCCCACCCTTTGACAGTTAGTCGGATGTCTCACCAGCGTCAGAAATGACGTAATTTGGCGAGCGCTAATATGAGAATGGCTAACAACTAATAATTTATGCTGATACAGCTCTTTAAGTAAGTGAAATGTTGGATACAATCAGTCATTTTACCTTTTATCCTTGTACTAGTAGTCGATGAAGACAGGTTTTGAAGCATCCTTTTACACCTGAAAATCGGAAAGTACATGCCAGCCAAACGCACTCAGACTTTTGCTTAGGATGTTGACAAGCCTATGCATTTTGTCACTGTTTTCGTCTTACAGGACCATGTCGTTAGCATAATATAAGCCAACCAAATTTCCCTCCGGGAGTAAGTCGATCCCTGAAAAGTCTTAGGTATCTAGTGCTGAATTCATTAGCACGTCCATAAAACAGTTGAACAAGAATGGTGACAGGGCATCAGTGACGGATACCAATGGTTGTCATTACTTCGGATGGCAACTCTCTATAAGCATTTACGCGGCTGCAAGCGTTTTAGTAGAGAGCTTCCGTTAGAACCACATTCTTGCTAAGCACTTTATACACAGTCAGAAACTGCCAGATCACCTCTCGGCCAACAGAGTCAAATGAGACCATTAGGTCAAGAAGTATGACCTTTGTAAGTATGCCAGTATTCCGAAATCTGTTGCACATGAAGATTTGACTGATGCATTCTTATCCACGTCTGAAACTTGCAAGATTTTATTGAGTTTGCTGTCCTTGAGCTCCAGTTAGATATTGCATAACAGTGAGCCCCAGGGTCTTAGATACGATGTTAGTTGAACTGGTCCGTTAGTGATGGCAACAGTTAAAGGGTACTGGGAAAGACAGGGAAGTCGGTCGGTGAGGTTGCGTAAATTACTCGACTGAGATGTCCTAGACACGTACCAGATACGCGGAGCTACTGCCCACCTCAACATGCAATGCGAAAAGAAGTTGGATAAAGTTGGAAGAGGGTTTAGCGTGACCAGACCAAACATTGCACTAGTCCATAAAGTCTCTTACTGTTGGTGTGAGTCATATAGGGAGATGTAAACTGCTTGGCTGGGATCACAAAGGCGATAGCAATCAGTGGTTAAGGACTCTTGAAAATCTGTCGCGACGCAAATGTATCTGTTTCTGTACATCTTTGAAAGCATGAATATTCAAACTAACCTTAATTTCCAGAATGTTTAATATCTCACACCAGTTTATTTACATCGATTTCCTGACAACTAGAGAGAACCTAAAAACAAAGATCTAAATCGAAGTCTCATTGTGAAAATACCCCACTCCGTCTTGTGAATCCTTGACAGTTTACTCAAATCACCCTATTTAGCTATAATATGTAACCCAGCTTTTACCAAATCCATTTCCCTAGTAAATCCATTTCGTAAAACTATGAATTACACTTAAGTTGTTTATCGAAGAAAGGGTAAATGATTTGTTTTATCGAGACCTTTTGTTTTCGTGAAACTACTTAGATAAGCGGAAAGATGTACGAAGATTTAGAGAGTGGTGAAGATGAAGCTGATCTGTTAAGGAGCTCATTTTTCAAGCAGTAAGATCCAGGTTTGAATTCTCCTCCACCTACTCCAGTATGTGCAACAGGGTAAAATGATAAGCGCTCACACAACAAGTGTGGTTTGTAACCTAGTGCACATACATCTACCAGATTGAGTTACATTAACTTCAGTATCATATTCACTAAACTCTACCACTGAAATCCTCAATGCCGTGAGTCAGTTAGTCAGTAAAAGTAAGGGAAATGCCATTACTGTTTAATATTCTTAGTTACCACGTGTCACATCGACACGTTGGGTGCACGATAACAAAATTGAAAGCAAGAAAACAGAAGTCATGAAATCAAGATTAGTAGAAATCCATAAAAAGTTCATATAAACTAGAACGATCGACGATATAAACCCGAGTAATGGGAGCATAACTGGTTCCCACGCACCAGCTTATAACTGACTGCGTTCAGTCGTTTTCTATCTCCATCTTCACAAAAAGTTGGAGGTAAACTATCAGATACTGAGGCTTTGCATCGTATCATGTTTAAAATAGCCTTCTCAATTTTGAGAAGCATCGAAGGACAGACGTCAACGTCCCACTCAGCAATTAAGTGTGACTGAAGGCCAGTCAAACTGTTCCCCCGACGTCTCAACCTCCTCTCCTAAGGGTTCATCATAGGTCGATCTTCCTCAACAGTAATCTCACTAATCATCATCTTCTCCTTCCCGGTATCCCAACAAACCTATATAGTTACCAAGTGTTATCTAATGTCGATACTTCCTTCATTTCTTTCGCTCTCACCTCCCACCACTGCTTGTGGTCATTACGAATCTCCAAGTCAATTTGCTTTGAAGTTACTTTCGTTATTCATTGTCGTCAGAGTCAACTGAAATAAGTCTTCCGACATCAATCAGTCCAGATGACGTTGTGGAAATCTACTGACGTCTGGCGACCTTTAGATGTGGGTTACCAATTATCTTTGTCCCAATATCTACATCAGAATGAATAGTAAACCGGACTTTATCAACGTTGGAACTTCTGATATGCTCATATAAGTGTTTTGATAATCTTCTCTCAAAACACACACTTGAATTTCCCATCTTACAATCCAGCAGACATAGGCTTTCCTGCTGCCTGTTTGCTGCTACTAGTAAGGTACAAACATACAAACAAACAAAGTGATCGTACCAAAGCGTGATCGGAGTCCAAGCAGATATTTTCGGAAGAACAGTAATCCTTCAACGATCCTCTCCAAAGATGGCTTATAGTAATATGATCTATCCTTCAGAGACAACTAGCATAAATATATCTTTCTTGCTTTGCACATATTCAGACGTAACTTTCGGTCATTGTTATCAGCGAAAAATAACGGAGCTCAGTTACGACTGTCTAAAAGTAAAGCAACTGTAGCGTCATACACTTCCCCAAAATCGTCTTAGGGCCCTCATGAACCCATTAGGGGGAGTGATCTGTAGCGTCATACACTTCCCCAAAATCAAAGGAAAGAGGTCTTCGACATTCAACATTGATGCTGACCTTCATAGGTTAACTGGACTCGCTAGGCTGAAGGCACCCGGTCAAGCATCCTCGCCATTTGGTACGCTGTCGTCTTACTTTGCACTGCTCGTAATCGACTCTCCAGCCAGTTAGTTGGGACGCATCGGCATCTTGGCACAACCGCCCAAATATACTATTCCATCCGACTACGCTATCATGTTCTTCCTTGGTCTCCTATTCGTGTGTTTATAACAAGTCCTAATAATTAGTGATTGGCCTTTGCGTCTGTCAAGTTCGCACCAGAACAACTCCTAAATTGGTGAGCCCGAAGAGATAACATATCCGACCAGTGGCAAATATTGAGTTGGTGAGCCTGTTCCATTTTATATTTGTATATTGTTTTCATTTCGATAACATTTATATATCCATTTACTACACTTTCTCATATCTGACCACACTCCCAAGCTTACCCTCACTAACCTGACTAGGAACGCGATCCAACCCGTGCTTTATTGGCCAGACAATGCGGAAACATGGTTTTTTGTATGCCGAGGCAGACTTTGGAGAACAGGGCGCCTCAGACCCTCATTCTCGATTTCTTGCTGTCATACTTTCATTACCGCGGGAATTTAACAGACAGGTTACAGCGCACATGTTTAGTCCCGAAGCAAGTGATTCTAATGCTTTTCTCAAGGCCGCACTCTTGATGAAAAGCGATCTGACAGATCGCCAGCGCCTAGACGAATTGCTTCGTAACATCGAGTTAGGCAGCCACTCAGCTACTGAAGTCCTCGCAAGCATGCGAGGAGTTATCGGCGCACGAACATTTGACAGTGGCATTTTCCGAAAACTATTTCTGTCGAAGCTACCACAACCGGTGCAAACCGTGTCAGTGACACTGCAGTCAGCCCCACTCGATGACCTGGCAGCCTCGGCAGATGAATTGCTGGAGATTTCTAGCAGACCCGTCTCCAACCTGTATTCTGTCTGCGGAAAACCAGAGAGCCAGGGTTCAGAGGTGACCAAGCTGTGCAACTCCGTTAAACAGTTCCTACCAACTCGAAGTCCTAGTTCACGTGGCACTTCACCCAAAAGCATCTTGGCACATTGCAGCAACTCTCGTGGTTGCCCCAAAACCAAACCCAACTGGGTGGAAAACCCTGAATGGTGCCGGTTTCATAATACTTGCGGAGACGAAGCAAGAAAATTTCGGAAACCATGCAGTTTTAACAAGGACACAAACTCGGGAAACGGCCATTTACTCTACGTCACAGATATTAGAACGAAAGTCCACTACCTCGTCGA